AGCAGGAATCGAGCGGTGTCATAGCAACCATGGAGAGCCGAGAGAAACAAAGCTGTTTCACCCTATACAGAAAGATTGAGTTTTATTCCATTAGTATTGGAGGATTACTATCGTATGTTCGTTCGTTTGTACATTCTATCCATCCATCCATCCATCCATCGTCCTGTCTGTCGTTCCATCTATCTATCTATCTATCTATCTATGTATCATCTGTCCGTCCGTCCGTCATTCGTTTGTACATTCTATCTATCTATCTATCTGTCTGTCTATCTGTCTGTCTGTCGTCCTGTCGTTCTGTCTGTTGTTCCATCCATTCATCGTTCTATCAATCTATCTATCTATCTATCTATCTATCTATCTATCTATCTGTTGTTCATTTTATCTGTTTTTCTAGTTAAAAATTACATTCATTTTAATTCTACTTCCTTATAATGAACTAATTGCAATCCTGCATCCTGTTTGTTACCACAATTCAAATTCTGAATGGTGCGCAAACCTGGTTTATTTTATTGTTTATACAAAAGGGTGACTTTTTCTTTACCTTATGGTCCTGTAAGTCCACTGCAGCACCGTAGCGAATGAGAGTCCGTGTCAATGGGAGGTGGTTTACTGAGCATGCCCAGTGGAGGGCAGATCTCCCTGGATGAAGAGAATGAGAGAGAGAAAGAGAAGAGATGCAAGAAGGAATTGATAACAAACAGGGCAAGGGTGATCAGGAAATGGCGTGTTGTGGCGCACAGAGGGGTCACAAAGCAGTGTATACAAAGCCAAACAATGACATGAGAGCATCCAGGAATGTGTTATGGGAAGGGAAAACAGGAAGCCAACCATTGAGACAATAAAAGAGGGACATTTTTGAGAGAGAGAAACAGAGGCATGGAAGGTTAATACATTATTTCCACATTGACCAGGCGCTACAGCACATTAACTCTGTTCTGAATCGGACGTGTTTATCAGGGGTGCTGGAGTGATGTGAGGGAAGCAGGAGGAGATGGAGGACGGCAGTGGGGAGTTGAGGACAGGACAGAGACAGTGACAAAAACAAAACCAGAAAGGGCAAAACACATTACTCCCCAACTGCAAAGGAAACAAAAACTATTCCTGTAATGTATTCTTGAAGACCACATTGATTGAAGGGACTCGTTCTACATGCAAGGGGTTAATGGCGCTCTTACCCGTGTGGTCGGTGTTATTGACAGGCACTCCAGCTCTCAGAAGCTCCAGAACTACTCGGTCAAGCCCGCTTCTGACAGCTCGGATCAGCACAACCGAGCCGTCTGGACCGCACCACTGCACCGGAGCGGTCTGAGAGATGACAGCACAAATAATCAGCTCTACAGAGAGAATTTTCACAATGATGCAGCATGCAGAATTTTTTTTTGGTAACAGATATCCTGAGCATTGTAGTATAATACGTTTTGTAAAGTTCAGGCAGATTGTTAAAATTAAACTCACATTGCTTGGTGCTCTTTGAGGTGTAGGAACCGCGTTTCTTTCCCATCCTCTAGGGGGAGCTAAAAGAATGAGGTAACACTTTATTTTAAGGACTAGAATGCATATTACTAGCATATTGTCTGTTTATTAGTACTTATAAAGCACATATGAATGTCTTATTCTGCATGAACATATTTTAGATCCCTTAACCCTACCCCATACCTAAACTTAACTACCTTACTAATCATTAATAAGCAGCAAATTAGGGAATTTATA